ATGGCAGAGAGAAGTGCAAAGGGTTCACGAAGTTGGAAAAGAGGTGTTTCTGGCGTTTCATGTCTATCAGTGGTTTGCACGGATATTGCGAGTCTCATGTGTAGCCAGCCGGGCGGTGGGCTAGAAGGAATCATGGGTGTCATTGCCTGTCAGTCGTACTGATAGTGCTGACGTATGTAGAGATTGTGTGACTTGTTGCTGTAATCATGTGTATTATTTTATTATGGTGAAAGCAGACTGTTTCTTAGAATTTAGTGTATAATTCGGAATGCTCCAATTAAGTGTATTTTATAGAGACAGGGCGTTGAAAGCCTTTATATTATCCTAATGCGAGGGCATGATAACAAAATAGTAAAGAGTACCATCACAACCTTTATCCAGGAAGATCTTCTGCCTGCCCGGGCTAGCTCTCTATTTGTCGAGGACAGTTGTCTGCGGAAGTCTGGCTTTCACATGCTTCCCAAGATACATAAACCGGACAACCCAGGAAGACCGATCGTGTCCGCCTGCGCTTGTCCCACAGAGCTCATATCCGGGTTCCTCGAGCGTATTTTGCAGCTCCTGGTCGTTGATCTCCCGCCTTACATCAAAAATACCAACCATGCTATCTCTATCTTTTAATATATCCAGTTCACCTCTTCTTCTAGGTACCACGTCTTCACCTTAGATGTTACCTTCCTCTACACCTCTATTCCACATTCGGATGGCCTTTAGGCTTTGCGGTTCTTTCTAGTTTAGCACACTCCCATCTCTCTTCTTGCAAGGACTCTATTCCGTTCTCCTAACTTCTACGCCTGCGCAGACTATGCCAAGAGAACGACGACAGTCACAACAAGGCCCTGGAAATGCTGGACTTTTTCCGGCTTCGAGGGTATCCTGAACATGTCCTATCTGCCGCCTTTCACCGCGCACGGTCTTTCCATCGTGCCGAAGCTATCGCTTAAAAGCCGAAACGTCAAAACAACAGACCTATCCTCACACTTACCTACCACCCTCACGACATCTGCGCCAAAATGATTTTCCTCAGGCATCTCTTCATTCTTAAAGCCGACCCACACACCAGCACAATTTTCTCTGAACCTCCTCTAGTGGCCTACAAGTATGATCGTAACCTCAAGGACATTCAAGTCAAGAGTAGGTTACGTCCCGCGTTTGAGCCCCACTTCGGCACGGTCTCTTGTCACAGACCTGTATGCAGAACCTGTCCATATGTGGTCCAGGTGGCTAGTCTAGAATTCCCTAACGCCGCCTTCCACATACGTGAAGCATTCTATTGTACCAGCCACAATGTCATTTATGCCATCCACTGCAAGAGATGTGGCATGAAATACATTGGTGAAACAGGTCTACGGCTGGCTGACAGGTTCAGACAACATCTTTTGGATGTGCAAAATGGTGCCCTCTGAAACCAGTACCGTTGCGCTTTAAATTCCCAGGATCACCAAGGTGTCCTCGACATGGAAATGGCAGCCATTAAATCCAGCCATTCCAGCGACAGAGTCCGCAAAGTCTCTTGAGAATCGCTTTATTTATACTCTGTGGACTTTAACACCCTCCGGACTGAATTGCCAACACATTTTCAGTTTACAGTTTTGCACTCACAGTTTTTATCACCAACCCCAGTTAAACTCCCCCAGGGGGTATCCCCCCCCCCCCCCCCCCCCCCCCCCAGCCGACACGTGTAGTCATTCTGCTGAAAAACAACCGACCTGGCTGCTTCGAGATACCAGCTGCACTCACAGTTTTATCGCCAAATAGCCCCGTTCAGTTTTGTTTGTATGGCCTAATATACCTGTGTACTCCACTGCGAATGTGTGTCGGGAGACTTGGTGTGCCGGATGCAGGGTCTCTTGTCAGTTCAGGGGTAGGATTGTTGATTCCAACTTTGTCTCGGGAGAGTTGATGTGCCGGCGACAAAGTCTCTATTAAGTTATTAGGGATAGGTTATTGGTGACCCAATGTGTGGGCACATAACCGAGGCGATTATGACAGGCTTTAAGGTGATACGGCCTTGGAAGCAGATAAATGAGTATCTGGGGAGTATGGACGGACAGTAGTTCGGTAAATACTAATTCATCCTTCACCTTCATACCGTTTTTCGTCCTAATAAATATACTGATGGGCAATTATAGAGATGACTCTTCCATGACCTTTAACGCGTTGTTGTGGACGGTTATCGGTGTTATTTGTACGATATGACTATGTGAACTGCGCTAGTTAAGCAACCCCGGTAGGGAACCGAGTTGGTCGCCAGAAAGGTCGACTTGGGAACTTTGATATAGGTCTGGGTGAAGGAGGACGTTTATAAAATTAGTTGGGCAGACTGCTTTTTAGAAATCGTCATTCATTTGTAAAAGTTACCCGACCGGTGAAAGTTTACACATTCCTTTCCGCACTCATGTTGAAAAGATGAAGTCACTGAACAAGCTGAAAATAAAGCTGGCAAGCTGAAAATTGTTTACAAGTTAGGGAAAGATCTGACACGTGTCCGCTAGGAACCACTTTGAAAAAGTATCCGTCCATGTCGAAGTTGACATGTTACTCTATGCGAAAACTTAGAAAATATGTCTGTTGGATAGCATTATTAGATTAATGAAAGATCGACCAGAGAAATCTCGGTCGGACAGTTTAGAAAAAAAAAAAAAATGCTTATAAGATTTGTTGGGCAGACTGCTTAGAAGTTCAGCCGATTTGTTGGAAACGTCTCTTGTGATTCCCACACCAACCGCAGCACTCACAACACACTACGGCACACAATATTATCAAAGACAGTAATACATGAACTATTAACAGACACCTGCGACATACTTGACCACCCATTCATCAGACCACAGCTTGGACAAGCGCACCTACACCAGTCGACGGGACGGTAGCAACACATGGTAACAACAATAAAACACCTTTGACATGCTTACCCATACATAAGATCACCTAAATATAGCAGCCTAGCTATGGCTAAAATTACCGGTACTTGATCCCGAGACACCCCCTTTGTTATAAGCCGTGACTCCTCGGTGCCCCATAAATCCCCTCAGTAGACTTCGACCCCTACAACTTCTTTTTTTTTTTCTTTAAAAAATAATCTGTATAAATCCCCCCGCCCCCCCGCCCCCCCCCCTCCCCTTTTTTTTTGTTGTTGTTGAAAATACCGCCATTACAACCTCGCTACCCTACTGCTCTCAGTGACATGAAAAATAAAACTGAACACATGTGTCAGCCATTTTTTTCGTCGGCCTGCACCAGTGACGTCGGCAGATGTTAAGCCAGACTTTCTTTAAGCTAGCCATGCTGTCTCATGAATTCAGCTTGCTCAGATCTCATATAATCCTAAGCTCTATGTGTGTGATTTTCTATTCACTAGGATCAGTCGTCTGTGTGTGGACTTGTAATTGATGCCAACAAGTGTAAGAATGTTCTGTCCTCGGATACTGGGCAATCACAGGGATTCTACTACATATTTTGTTTTCACTTTTACACAATAGCTGTAGTTTTCTGGTGAATTCCATCTTTCCATACACGTTCGAGAAGCATGAGAGAAGCTGTTGGAAATATGTAATCACATCAAAATCGCACGGTATTCCAATCATCCATACTGTTTTTGTTACTAATGTATGTCTAGCCTTATGTAGTTAATAACTCCTACACAACAAGAGAGAATCAGTAGTATGTATCTGAAAACAACACTGTACAACAATGATCCTTGTTTTATCTTCCACCTATCAGATGGATTTGTTCAGTGTCTTTATAGATACAAGAACAGCATGCGAGGAGCTGTGGTGAATGAGTAATTACATCAAGTTCCCATGGTATATCAATCATTCTTGATGTTTCTATCTGTCAATATCTATCTATCATATCTGTCTATCGCATTTAAAAAAAAAATGTTTAGAACAACATTGTTATTTATTGTAATCCCTCATGTATACACAGTATCATTCAGTTGCTAACCATGGCATCATTACTAGTCGATACTGTTTGGCGCTTCGTGCTGTGGAGACTTCTACATTCATACCCTTTCTACGTCAGTTTTGTTTAAAAAACATATTGCAAACTTGTGTCTTTTTCTTCTGCCTTCTATCCCTAAATGGGGCATAGGTTCTCAACCAACTTACGCCACGTCGTTCTATTCTTGGCTATTGCAGGTAGCTCATCCCATATCCTCCCATCTTTTTAACTTCATTCTTTAGCTCTCTTCTTTATATTTTTTTCCCCCCCTTAATTTCTATACCCCTGTGGGTTCCAGTGCACAGTTTGTGTCAGATAACCATAAATGTATAAGGTTTTCGCTGAAAAATAGTCAGCTGGCGGCCGTTTTTATGTTGTAATTAATCGCATATTATATCGTATGTCTTTGGGACATGCATATACAGTTAGGTCTCGCTGTCACGATTCGAGCAATGTATAGTTGCTAAGGAATTCGTTCAGAATCCAAAGGGCTATGGCCATAAAATGCAAACATTGAGTTACTTCATCTTACTGGACCGCCGCCCGGAATCCATGTTTTGTCCTGTTCTACTATAATTTGTCCATGATGGTATCCGCCACTAGAATGTTCATATCTACGCTTAGAATAGACTTACATGCTTCGATGAGGTATCGGATTTGTAATTCCAGTCTCTATCTCGCTGTGATGGCTTCATAAGAAAAAACCCAATATATAAAGCTTTACTAGCATCTCTATTATATTTGTTGGACAAGAATCGTCGAAATAGATAACAAGATATTAAGTTGGTAGGTAGGTAGGTTGTTGTACCCCATCAGGACATCACACAAGCGATAAACACCCAGTGACACAAAGTGCGGATGAGGATCACCGATAGAGAGATCCTAAAACCATTTCAGCCGTTAGGCCTTATCTATGGCTAGGCCATATTTATGCCCCATCTATATTCAGGGCCCCAGACAGAAGCTAGGGTGGGGCTTCAGATAACAAAAAAATTGCATCCCACGTGAGGACGACTTCCAAAAGCAAGAAATTAAAGACATTAGTGTTGCCTTACCAGAATTGTCGGTAGCATTCTCTGCGTCTTCATACTGGTATCTTGAGAAGTAGTCTAGCAATGATTTAGTCCAGTAGCCAGCAGTGCGAATGTGTAGCCAGATAGTGTCTGCATCATTAAATATTCCATAATCAATGTACCAGACAAAGATGTATATGGACAACAAAATATAACAATATGGCATGGCTGATAGGGCAACAGAACCAATTCTAAATTACATAGAAAGACAGCAAGGGAAATGGTTTGCCCACTTAGAGAGAATGCCTTGTGATACCATACCATACAAAGCATACATGGAAAGAGAAGAAGGTCGTAGAGCAAGAGGTAGACCAAGAACAAGATGAAAGGATAACATCAGAGAAGCTCTACAACAGCACGATGTGCGTATGGTCGAGGCGGCCAGAAGAGCCAGAAACAGAACCTTGTATCTCCCTCGACACCCACAGCGGTAAAAGAGGAAGTGAAGAAGAAGATGAAGAAGATGGGGCAACATAAATAGTACCAAAAGCAGATTTTATATTATTTTTGTTTTGGTGTTTGCCGACTGTAAACTCCGGCGGAAAGTTCTGGTTTGTTCGCCCATTTATGTATTTTACTCTTATTAGAACGAGTTTGCGTGCACATCCGTT